TGAAAAATCACACCTGATACAATGAAGGGGTTTTTTTCTATCTGATTGTGAACCCGTGCCGTTTTCGAGAAAACGAATGATAAGTTACTGGAGAGGCTAACATATTTTTCCAGTTGGATAATTTATCAGGGATACTGTACTTTTCTTCTGACACGGGGGAGATGCTTTTCTCACTTTCGACCCTGATCACCCTTAATGTTGAGTCATCTTAATGCGTTTCCGTGTTGCTGGAGCAAGCTATCGTAGGATCCTGGTCGTAGCTGCTCCAGAAGTGATGCTCATCGAACTTGAATTGTGCGGGGCAAGGCCCGCCCGAGGTCGTTGGTGGAAATACAATACTGTACTGTACAGGTATCGGACAAATCCATCACGGCTCCAGAAACGCTTGATTGAATACGGGTTCGTCAAATTCTGGAGTTGCTATGGAAGGAAGATAACACTCAGTCACTGGGTTAAGTCTTCGGACGTCGAGATTTATTTCTCCGGAAGGATTGCTGAGCATCATCAATGCTGCGAATTTTCCAGCTATAAATCCGAGCCATTTTAACGTACAGTACCGTAGTTGAATCTGGTACCATTAGAGAAAAGCAAGCAGTAATTCAGATCAAGGGGATTTGACGTGAACTTATATAAATGGCCCTTTTTTACGCATAAATCGCCCTTCTTGTAGCTTGAAATGGTTAGTTGCTAGATGGAGTCCTATAGTATTCTGAGTACTTCTCGTTATTCTAACTAATACGTCGATTACGGCAAATGGTCTTGCTCTTGAGCAGCCGCGAAGGTGTTCCATTTACTGTGTATAAATCACTTTTATTGTTTTCACTATACTGTACATTACTGTACTGTAATTTCCTCCTTAAATAAAATATTTTTTGCTTGATATTGTCTGAAAATCGTTCGGTCATTGAAAGATTTCCTCGTTAGGTATCGAGAAATCACTGAATACAGTACAAGAAACTGTGGCTGCACTGAATGAAAAAAGCTGTTCATCGTAATGCGGTCAGAACAATCGGCACCCGCTGAGTCTTCTTCTCAGCAATTTATACGGCAGTTTTATGAACAAAGATTTGCAAGAATATATCCCACTGCATTTTGTGCGGTCCTTTCATCGAGGGATTTTTCGCGATTATTCCAAGCTTTTTGTTGCCGCTATGGAAAGATGTGTGACACGAATCGATTATTTATTGGTTAGATTGTTCATAAATGTTTTGAAGCCACATTTAGATACGGAGATTACTCTCGTTAAAACTTTCTCATGAAGCTCAATTCATGATTTTAACGAAGCACCGACGAGTACATTTCCAGTACGGTTCCCTGTTGTATGTTATTTTTTTTAATTTGGGATTTCGGTTATTCCATTGTCTGGTATGAGAATGCGGGCTGTGCATTGACTCACTGCGAGTGGTTTTTGTGGATAATTGACATTCTGTGCCCTTGTTCGGTTTGAGTTTTTCCTAGCTACGTGGCTTGGTCAATAACGCGGACCGGACGAGAACTGAAACGCCCTTGAGCTAAGTTTTCACCTGCCATCGGTCTGTCGCGTGCTGAATTTTGCTGCTACAATACTTCCGAAGTTATCTAGCTTCTTTCTGATATGCAGTATGGTAAATTTCCGTTCTACTTTTTATTTGTCTATACCATTAGCTATCGATCGTGGTACAGTACGATGAGCGGTGGCTGTTATCATTTTAGTTCCGATCGCGCGACTTGGCTGTGGCCGAAGAGTTGTGAACACTTTTGAGGCTTAAAGTTTGCAATGAATTTTGTCCTGTGTCTGAACGAGTGCCAAGCGCTACAACTAAATGTGATTTTCTGCCGTCGCCTTCTGCCCGGAATAACTTTCAAAGGAATGTGCGCTGTTCTTGAATTCAGGCGATAGTTTGCGTATCAACGTCGATCATCAGGAAGTATCCCACTTCTGAGATGTGGTCAACGAGCTGATCCATGTTCATGTCGTTTTTCTAGTGTCTAGTTTGTGAATGGGCACCGAAACTAGGACACTGCAGTATTTGAATCTCCGGCTATTGTTTTAGATTTTGATGCAGTTTATTCAATTTAGTTCACTCCTTTTCAGTTTTTTAAGATCGTGAAAGTCAGTGAGATTTGATGATGTGTGCAGTATTCGGTTTTGGTGTAGTGTCTATCTCGTTCATTGGTGCACGATTATCTAAATTTTGATAGTACAGTACAGTATTTGAGAAGAGGCCCGTCAGTTTCTGATTATTTGTCCTCTGGATTAGGTCTTCTCAGTGGGAGGCTCGCGGGCATCGGTCAGGTAGCACGCAAGATTGTTCTTACCTTAGAGAAGTTTTTCAAGGAGTGGTACTGCATATTCTTACAAGAATTGAGTTGAAGAGAATGACACCCGACAAACTCGGGGTTAAGAGATATGGGGGGAGGTGGATTGGCTTGAACAAAGGATGCAAAAGCCACTGTGAATGTAAACCTGACAGTGAAGTTGTTGAATTGAAAGCAAACGTTGAAGTAAGTAAAAACGGAAATTGCATTTGAATAGTTGGGTCCTTAGAGTAGGTACATATGTGGAAACCTATCCGTTCCAGGATGAGATTACTCGTGAGAAAATTACTAAACGTGAAACACGATTTTCTTGTAAGTATTCTTGAAAATGTAATTTTTAGATTTTTTACAGTACTTTTTTTACGTAGTGCTTTCTACAGCAACATCTTAAATGTTGGAAGTGTTGAAAATTTTCATTTTCTACGCAGCTGTGCTTTCTTCACTTTCTTTGTTCTAGTACAATGAGCCCCTAGCCACTTTTTTTTACGAAAGGTTTTTGGCACAGACGTGAAGTTTTCAATGATGCTTTGTTCAACTCTCTTCTTCCATCGTCTTTGTAAGAGTTCGGATGTTGTTTTGATTGAAGAGATCCTATTGTTTTCAGCTTGATCGTGAAGATGGTGGTTGACGGAATTTTCACATTCTGCCTCAGTTGAAAAATATTTCAGGCGTCATGATAGCACAAAAACCTGGAAACACGAACACATATACATACTGGAAGCAACCACAAAAACAGTGCACTGTACTTTATACGCAACAAAAAGGCCAGAAAGGTTGGCATTGATGGCTGGTTTCTGCATAGTGGCTTGCATAGCATTATGGGTACCAATATTGCTGCTGGAACCCTTGATTTTTCAGAAGTTTCTAAATTGGTTTCAATTTTTCTTGCGCGTAAAATAAATCCAATGTGAAGCCATTGATTCGTACAACACAGGAGAAAGTTGATGAGCCTTGTCCGAGATGTTTGAAAACCCGTTTGTTTAGATTTCTTCCTGCAGAAAATATCAATATTCGTTCAAGCTGGTCGTTTCCGTGTGTCTCGTGAATTAATGTGCGGGAAGCAATTCCCTTCAAAGAGGTGAATTATTTCCTCGTACTTGCGGCTGGACGCTGAGTTCAGCTTCAAGGTGAAGCTACTTGGGGTGGGAGAACTGGAAAGCCATCCTCCGAATTTTCTTGGCCGAGTAATATGTGGCATTGATCGTTCCCGATTTGTCCATGGCGCAGGCTTACTTCCCGGTTTATGCTGTGTTTCCGGACGTGCTGTTTAATTCATCGAATTGTTCACAGCGTGGGGTTTCTCGGTAAAACGCGTGTCACCCTGCAAGATGCGTTGAGAGACGGGGACGGTCGCACGGCGGTACTGTCTTTCATAACTGTGTGCGTCCAACACTGTCTCAAAGATTCATTCATATCCTGTTCACAGAAAGGGAGGACTGTTTTTGCTCATGCACAAAATAAAATGCATGTTGTGCAGGTAAATTCTTCTTCCTAAGCCGCGTGCCCCCTCCCGCCTGTGGTTTTCATTCAGGAGTTTGTTTCATGCGTATTTCGTATCAAGGAGAACGGCGCGCGTGTACTGTTGTACGTTTACGTACGTGGCTGACAACAGAATACTACGTTATGTTTATGACGCAAAATGAATATTCAACTATTTTTGAGCTTCCGTTTACGTCGCAAAACCACGCGAACCAGCTTCTGGATAGAAATTTGTCCGTTGAGTTTTCGCGAAGTAATGTTACATCTTTGAAGCTTAAAAGAAGTACTGTACCTCATTATCCGCGCTACTGTATATTTGAAAGTGTGTGTAAACATAAGATGTATTTTATAATTACGTATACAGTATAATATCGTATGTCCAGCGCGTTGTGTGGGGAAGATGAACTTTTGAATAAATTGGCCTTCCTTGCTATTTGAACGAACTGGACCACCGAAGATGCTAATCTACGAAAAATCAAGGTAGATGATGATTTGTATTTTCATCTATGCATGCATTCCTTCAATAAATTTCTGTCCATCACGTTGATTCTACAATAAACTTGCGACGATTGAAAATTTCCTAAAGCCTTCGAATGTACGTGCGTAGCTTGCCACAATTACTGCTTCAAATGCTTTTTTTCGAGCGATTCCGTCTTTTCTGCACGCTGCTCTTGTCGGCTTCCCGACGAGCGATTTCGTCGAAAAAGAACAAAAAACACGCGCAACTGTGTTTTCAAAATCTACTTCGATGCATGTTACTATTTTTCCTGTGAGGTCGTGACTAGGCGAAGCATCAACATGGTGCGCAGCCGTGACATAATTGAGTTTTCTCTATTTCGTGTTTCCGAAAATGTTGTTTTATGGCTAGAAATAATGGCATTGTGTCAAGTTACAGTATACGGGCATATTCGTTTCGAAAATGAGACAAACGATTTTATTCTGAACCATCGAGAGAACTCCGTTCAATAACCGAGGATCCTTGGGGAAATCTATGTACAGTTTTTCAAATTTTGTCTTCTTTGATTGAGATGATGGTTTGACGAAAATATTAAGAAAATGCACTTATCCCGAAAATTTTCGCGATGGAAGGTCCACGTCCGCGTTGTTGTTATTGTGTCAAGTTTACATCGTGTTTTGGCTTTGAGAAGCTTTCAGAATATCTCATAATTCTAGTTGCATCTTACTGATACCATTTCCTTTTTTCCTGTGTATTCCCTTCACAGGAAAAGAAACTCACAAAAAAGGAACGTGACCGGTTCAGAGAGGAGGCTGGCTTGCTGAAAACTTTGCAGCATCCAAACATCGTGAGGTTCTTTGACTACTGGGAAGTTTCGTCTCCGAAAAAAATCGTCCTCGTGACCGAGTTGATGACGTCAGGTACCCTGAAAACGTGAGTTCAGCTTTGTTGTATAGCTCAGCTGCTTTCGCGTGCCTTGGTTATTTTTTCTCCGTTGGATCGGGTTACGACCTCGATGCGGATCGTCCCTGTGCTTCCTTCCATCTGTTTTTCCCGCATCTCCGTCGTTACACATTACCTTCTTTTTTGTTTGCTTGTGGTGTACCATCCCATCGACGTTCAACCCTCTGTGCAAGTTTTTTTCGTGTATCTTTTTTTTTTTAATGATTGGTTAGATCGATATTCGATTTATTGCACTTTCAATGAGGCGACGTTGTGGTCATGTTTTGCGTTCTGTCAGCTGTAAGGGATGGAAACCAGCGATAGCCAGCTGTCTTCGACTCCTCGGAGTCTTGAATTAGTTCTATTACGCACAATACTACGTGGAATAAGCGTTCGAATGCTTGAAGGTACCCTTCTTCGCCAACAGTAGCTTGTTACCTCTTCCGATGCACGTGGTGTCGAAATTTCTCGGCGCTCAGTCTTCTTTCGACGTCAAGCTCGGTCATGCGCTGCATTGTTCAGATTCAATGAAAGAGTCGCGCTTTTATGCGCCGCGGTTTCCGTACTATTTTTTGTCTGACATTCTGTCAATTCTCTTGTATTTCTGCGAGCCGTGCCGATATGCATCGAAGGATAACCATATTTACCGTACTACAGGTCGCACTCGCGTCTTGAAAAAAATAAACACCTTCGATATCTGTTGTATTCGAGATACACCGCAAGTCTTAGGCCGTTCCCTCTTTTGGGAATGTGAGCCCCATATCTACCACCAATATAGCCAGTAGCGGAGTCGTATACTGTATATGTGGCCTGTGCCCGAGATTATTTATTAGCATAAATAATCGGAATTATGTTATTTTAGAGTAGCCACCCCGGATTTGCCGCTGTATTTTTTTTTCGGCAGTCTGTGTGTTTTTCTCTCTCAACACGGCTTACGAATAGGTTAATATTGTACTTCTAGTTGGGCACGAGATAAGATCGCATGAATACGATGAATTTGACATCGTTGATATCAGTTTTGATCAACTGACAATCGAGAAAATTCAATTGCATTTACTTTGTGTCCTGGGACAGGTATTTGAAGCGTTTCAACAAAAAAGTAAACGTCAAGATTATCAAGGGATGGTGTAGACAAGTCTTGAAGGGATTGCTCTTCCTACATTCTCGCTCCCCGCCAATTATACACCGAGACTTGAAATGCGACAATATATTCATCACTGGGACAACAGGAATGGTGAAAATCGGAGACCTGGGTTTAGCTACGCTTAAGAAGAGCTCATTCGCGCGATCTATAATCGGTGAGTCTTACTCATTTTTCGATTCCGGTGTTTATGAGCAAGAAATAAACTGGGAGCATGCATGGGTTCCGTACTTCCGTGTGGTATTCCTAATTTTTCAATTTGCTAGTTATAAGTAAGAATATTTAGCCTGTCATATGAGTCGACCGATGTGAATCGAAGGTTTTGCGACTCTCTCGGTAATATGAGCCGTTGTTAATCACCAGGAACTCCGGAGTTCATGGCGCCAGAAGTGTACGACGAGCACTACGACGAGATGGTGGATGTTTACTCATTCGGCATGTGTATGTTAGAGATGGTGACGTCGGAGTACCCGTATTCCGAGTGCAGTGGCCCTGGACCCATCTACAAAAAAGTCACTAGTGTAAGCATTCGGGAAGAGTATCCCGTGCCTCGCGCTCTTCGCTTTTGCCAAGTTTCTGTGGCTCTCTTGACTTCTGCTGTTTGAGGCCACGCGGAGTGGGCCAGACTGATTTTTCGGACGCCGAGAGTAACTTCAAAAGACTGGGATTATAGATCCGATTCTCACACTACAAGGTCACATTAACTTGCCGACAAATAAATTTTGTTTTTCGATAATACAGAAGTTCCTCTGTAAGATGTTGTGGGTATAAACCAGGACGTATGCTACTTTGAAGAGGGCCACCGTACACAAATTTCTAGACGTGGGAGAGAAAAAAAATGATTCGAGTATCTAACGGTTTTTTTTTTCATTCATGAACTTAGCTGAAAAATTTATTTATGTACAATTTTATTCCCTGAAAATGCCCTGTTCTCCTCGCTCGGCAAAAACCCATCGTTTTCCCTGCGCCTCTTTATATTTACCGTCCGTTTTGGTGGCTTCGGAATGCCGTAGTATATACCATCGCAAATTTATGTTACAAATTTATATTTGCCATGCTTCAACTACGTAGAATTATTTGAAGGAAGAAATATGCCTAAACTGAGCTGATTGTCCAACCCAATTTAGTGAAGTTACCTTTGCTGAAATTGTTCGGCCGTCAGACGCTCCCAGTCCGACGTCATTCGGAGTGCCGTTTCTTGGCGCGTCTGTTGAAGGTTTTCTTTTTTCTTCTATGCGCAGGGTGTCAAGCCACTCAGCTTCGACAAAATAGAAAGTCCAGAGATCAAAGACATCATTGACCGTTGCATTCGAGCCAACAGGGAGGAACGGTACGGATTCCCGCGCTGCGAACGTCATTCGCTGATAATGTGTAAAAGAGTCCTTCAAGGCTTCGCAGCCAAGGAAACGCATTATTTGTTCATTCAATCTCGAGACGAGTCCCTGGTCTCTTTCAATGGATTCCGAAATTTCCATTGCTTTGGGCTGTTTCCACTCATTTAATAAACTTTTTATTCACTGCTATTTTCATTAGCCCTTCAGTGAAAGAGCTGCTCAATGAAGAGTTCTTCATGGAAGATTCGGGCCTGAAGGTAGAGCTTGTGTCGCGGGATGAAGCTGTATCGAGTGAATCGACGAAGATTGAACTCCGCCTGCGTGTTCTGGATCCGAAAAAGCGCAAAGACAAGCACAAAGAAAACGAGGCTATTCAGTTTGAGTATGACATCGAAACGGATGATTCTGATCAGATGGCTCAAGGAATGGTAAATGTCACTTTTTAAATCATTTTCCGTCTTACAGTGCTCCGAAAGATGTTGAATTATGTGTAGAAATACCAAATTGTTAATTATTAATGAGTTAATTGTTTTGGAAGATGTATTATTGCATGTAAGCTTCAAAAAGCTTTTCTTGCATTTCTTGAAAACTCGATTATCCCGTCGAGTGCCTGACTTCTCATCCTTCATTTCAGGCCAAGACGGGAATCATTTTGCCGGAGGACGTGGTTCATGTAGCCAAATTGCTTCAAGGGCAGGTTAATTCGTTACTGCGAGAAAGGAACATTCGTCGGGCGAAGGAAATTGAAAAACGGAATGCCGCGGAGTCAAAGGTGTCGGCTGGCAATGAACAGCAGACGTCTGCGACGGAATCGGATCGCTCTGAACAAAATACTCTTAAAGCTTCCGAATATCTCGGTCAGAGTGTTCTGGTGGACCCACAGCAGACGGACACGTTGAAAACAGTTCGACCGGCCCATGATGGCGAACAGCCACAAGTTGTTCCCGTTGAAAGCGTTGCCGCGCCACAACAATATTCCGAGTTTGTCCATGGAAGTTCTCCTGGTAAGATGGAAGATTTGAAAAATCAAATGAGCGTCTCAATTTCATTAATATAATAGACTTTCGAGGTTTCTTCCATTTAAGACTGAAATAAATGTTGTCGCTCGTCGGCATATTTTGTAGTTCGAAAGTCTGTGTTGGTTTCTGGGATGCGCAAGGCAATGCACACTTTTAAATTATTTTCCCGAAGTGAATGAGTGTTGAAATTTCGTAAGGAAGATATTCGTTTTCACTCCTGAAGGTCAGCCACGAACACAGTGGTCCATTTTAATTTGAATTGTGATACCGAGGTTGCATGAAATTGATATTATGGTGAGTGTGGTGAGCTTGCCGTTAAATGTGTTATCCCCTTTACGTTTGTTGCAGATGGCGTAGACCAACAGATGCGTCACATTCCACAATACTTCCCTGGGGAAGCGTTTGTTCAAGAAGACCAGGTGAGTCTGCTCGTAGTTCGGCTTGCTTTTAATGCTTCCCGTCCTACCCACGTGGAAACTCGTGGGATCGATGTTTGGCGACTCACGAAGTTCCGAGTGGGGAGTTCGGTGAAGCTTAGGGCGACCTTTGTCCTGCTGTTTGCGTTTATGTTAGTTGAGTTGGCACAATACCTAAGATGTTGCTGATGTTGCAAGGGATTACCCGAAATTGAAGAAAAAGGATAAGCAAAATACTTTGTTTTGATCCCGTCAGGGCAATATCCGAATGGACCATGCACAAACCGAGCGGCGGGGCAGGAGCGCTATTTTGGGCATGCCCGTAGCTAATTATGACGTTGTTCAAGGCAGTTACAACTATTGTACTTGCCAACCAGTATTTTACGCTTCTTCAGAAACCTTTGCCCGCAACGAACACCGCCCGTGTTCAACTACTAACCCTTTCTCTCCTCGGTCTCCTTATCCTCCTACCCTTGGTTCCAACCACGATTTTTTCGTCGCCTCTACGCCGTGCACGTGTTTCAACCCAGAACGTAATAACTCAGTTAGTTTTGCGACCAACAATGGGCAGCACGAGCAGAGTAGTTCAGGCTTGATGCGCATGCGCACTTTGCCACGAGATCAGGGACAAGTGATAACCCAGCCTTCGTCACCGTCGATGTCCGCCAGTGAACAATATTTACTTGTGCCCGCCAAGTGGATCAAAAGCCAACACCTTCTGACTGACCCTAGAACGCGGTCCATCCCTTGTCTGGCGCCGATTGTGAACCAGGTGTCCAGCCGTGGTAAGTTGCACGTGCAAACGGATCCAGTGCGATGGGATCGACAGTCGCGCCTAAGATTTCCTGGCATGCGAGAACGAAGCTTGCGGGAAAACCAAAGCCTGTCTCCGCCTGTGAAGGTTACCGCTACGGTGGAGCCACGTCCTACGCCTCCATCGATGGATGTAAGATCTGCGTCGCAACCGGCGTCTCGGTGCGGCAGTCCGATCCGCTCTCCTGCTACCACGCATCGAACTGATGCGAAGCCCGGCAATATGCTACGCCACGTACTGAGCGAAAATCTCGCTTCACATCTGGCGGAATACCGGAATGATGCCCAAGAGCAGCAGAGACGCCGCCTGCTCGCGATGCGCGGCTCGCTCTCTTCCTCGGAAGAGTATGTTTCTGACGTGGGCTGGGTCCCGAAGCAGGTTCTGAGTCGACAAAACGCAGTCCCGTTCTCATACGACCCGGACCGCAGTCCTTCAAAATTTGTACGTGTTCCTACCACCCGAAATCTCCTTCCGCAATTTACTCCCCCCTCCCTACCCCCTATTGAGTCCTGAACTGACGAACGGCCCCGCTTATCGTCCCTACCTCCGTGTCGCGTCCATTAAACCCATTGGTGTCGGTTTACATTGCAAGCCACAGCTGATCATCGCATGTTTGCTTTTGCCTAGTTAGTAGAGGGAAAGTGTGGGTCAGTTTGCCTGTGAACTTTCGTATTGATCCACGTTTCTTCTCTCTTCTTCTTCTCGTGGAAAACCTATCCTTGATATCTGATTAAAGGTTACGGCGGATGTTCGCGAAAGGATTGAACCAACCTTCCAAGCGGTGCCGACGCCCGCCATCTCTTATCCGCCTAACCCTGCAGCCATCACCGCCGTAGATTCTCTTGGACAAGTACCAGACCGAGTTGACCTGTAAGTATCTACAGGACTTCTAAATTCTAAGATTTCTTTCGCCTTGTGAAGTGACGAAAATTTTCTTCGAGAATCTAAAAACTTCAGTTTTTCTATTTTTATTTAGCTTTTCTTCAAAATTTTTATTATTGTCGGGATCGCGTTCCCGCCTCACCCTCCTTTCCACACAATATTTACCTGTTTTCTCAGTATTCATGTCCCACGCGACCACCGTTATTGATGCGCATTTTTTCATGGGGGAAATTTCAGAATAAATCTGATAAACATATGGAAGCAAAGCTCACATCGCGTATGACGTGTTTCTAATTCAAATTTTGGAGAAAAAGGTTCCGTGTGGTTCAGAAGTGGATACGGGGTTGAACCTGATCCAGCGAAATCTCCCGAAGATCTTACGAACTCCCTCGATTATGGCAGTTTTCCGACATTTATCCGATCAATTTGAATTTATCTGTCTTTTTAAAGTTTTTAAATTACGGTAGGTTAATAGCTGTGATATTCATGGATTTCGAAGGACGTAGGTATTTGTTCAGGCATGTGGGAGTGTCACCTTGACCAACAACCAAAAACCTGCTGTTTAACCTTATCTTTTTATCCGAATTATTGTCTAGCGAAAATTCCAGTTTTTTCGCTTCAATTTTTTACCCTTTGAGAAATTGGTTTATGACGTGAGCTACTTCTAAGCAACAAACAGGGTTCTCGGACTAGTTTTTTTTCTATTCCCGAACGAATACTTTCCACGCTCCCTCTTCTGTCATGACAGTGTTCCTCAGATGTAGGACTAGTTTGCACCCTGAATTGCGTCGAGTGCGAGTTCTTGTTGAAGAATTCGCTTACCGGCTGATATCACTGCTGATGCGTATCGATTCACTGATCCAGTTTTTATGGCTATTATGTTGTTGCCTTGATACACTTCGATAGATCAGTGATGTCAATTGTTGTGACCTGTTCGTTTCAAGCTGTATAGCCTTCACGTGTGTCGAGTACAGTGCAGCATTGAGATGCGTTACACAGTACAGTAGTTATGCGCCAGTGCCTTGACTGGCAATCCGTTTCGATATTTACAATGTGAGCCACGTTGAATTTGCAGAATGCTTGACTTCGAAAGCGCTGGAGAACAAAGTGAATCGAGCATTGCTGGCAATGCCGATTCAAAGGGAAGGGTAGACTCGAAAAGGCGTATTCGACGAAAGAAGATTCCTGATCGAGGTCCGAAACTTGCCGTGCTCAGTGTGAAAAACAGTGAAGTAGAGTGTCGGTTGTCCACGGCGAATCAAAAGACCATTACATTCAAGTTCGATCTGGAGGAGGCTGAGACGACCGATGTTGCTGCTGACATTTCCAGCGATTTGGTAAGAGCAAAAATTTAATTAAAAGAGGGAAAGTTATTGAATCATGCATCTGCTTAGGAATTCTTTCGCCGTAGAGCTGTGTTGGTTTAAGATATTCATAATTAGGCATGAGTTTATTTTTTGGATGAACTATTTTAAATGTTGCATTTGATACGTGAATGTGTCGTAGTGGAACGTGTTCTGAACTGTGTCGCAATCATGGCGTTTCTGGAATTTGTTTCATTTAGCGAGCTGACTACTTATTTCTTATTGATTTTAGGTGCAACGTGATCTTCTTCCCGAGCAACATGCGGACATCGTGGTTGAGCAGCTGCATGAAATAATTTCACAAATCAAGGAGAATCCCAATTGCATTCCTGTTCTGGAACCCAGTGGTAGCCCATCAAGTCAACGCAAAATCAAACCTGACGTGGTTAGACTTCCCCGTTGTTCAGAATTTTTAAAATTTTCTGAAAACCCCTCAAACTACCATGTTTCTTACAGAACGTTGTTTCTCCCACTGCGCCGGAATCGACCCCTGCGGATATTAAAGATGGCGCTCAGTCAGTTCAAAGTATCTCGCAAATTGCTAGTGGTGCGTTAGAAACGGAAATTAAGTTGCGTCATTTCAACCCTCCGTCAACACTTGCGAATATTGTCTCTTTGTCACAATCTGGCCATGACAATGGGAATGCTGCTGCCAACCCAGCTGTAAAAATGGTTTGTCAGATTCTGTTTTTTATTTAAACAATTCCGTGAAAGAAAAATTCGTATTTCTGAAATCATTTTCAGGGGCGCTTCATCATTAGCCCAGTCGCAGTCACGCCAACAACCGTTCTTGACGATACACTGGTTTTGAGTACCCCTGCTGAAGAAGTACGTTGCATGGGGTTGCGGACTTTCGTAGCAAAACTCAAGACTCCTCCCATGTTCTTTTAAATACCCCCTTCTCTGACGCAAAAGACACCGAGTATAAACGTGACTTCTTAATGTTACCGAACTTCATACATTCTTGGCGTAGCTAAATTCCGGTTTTGTGAACCCGGTGAAGTTTATTTCAGCGTAGAAATTGAAATCAAATTTTATTTTATGGGAGTGAGTCACACTTTTCGATGTGTATACCTGAAAGGATACCTCTGCACTGGCTTCGATATGTTTACTCGCATAGACCGTGCTGAAAGCTTCAGTTGCTGATCAGAGTTCCCGCTCGAGCAGCTCGGGTGGTCCCACACCACCGCAGCTTAACACGCCTGAATCAACATACCACACTTTTGGACAAAAGGCAGTTGTTATTGATCAGCCAATTCCTGAGTGAGTGGAAAGGCATAGCTTTTTTAGTTTAATTTCTTGTAGATAATATTTTCGTGTTCTGTAGGCAAGATTTGGGAAGTATTGCTGAATTACAACAAACCCTCTTACAAATGGGTGGCTCAAATATGGACTTGGGTCCGACAGCAATGGCCAATCTTTCTGTCATCCTCTCGCCGACTGTCAAGGCAGAAATGTCACCCAGCGGACTTGTCGCTACATCTTCCTCTCCACACGATTTCGCTGACTTGCAGAAAAAGCTGGCGACGCTCAACAGTCATCATCCCTCAGCCGTTGTAAGTCCCCGCAGTTTTTTTTTTTTTTTAAATGAAGTTTTGAACACCTTCTAGATTCCTGTCTGTATCATAAACCAAAGGCATTAATTAGTCAGGCACTTCGCAGAGCTCCTTCGCATGACCCCGGCTTTGACCTTGAATCGTTGTTTGCGTTCATGTCTTTAAACCCGCGAGGTTCTTTGCGTTGACATGTCAATTCTGTGTGACCGTGTCTTGTATTTCTGGACCGCAAGATGAATATTCATGGCTCTCGACAGCCGAACACTTGGTCCGTGCCCTCCAGGAGATTACCGCACGCATCCTTGGGCCAGATATTTTCCTTGCCATTCGTAAGTTTTACGCTGCCCCTGATTGCTTGCTGAGCGGGACTAATACCCCGAGGTTGCGTTCTGTGACATGTGTCCGTCCTGTATCATTCACGTCACGTTTCCGCTTCAGCTTGAAAGCAAATTCGCATGGGTGGGTTCCTTCCGTCTCATAAACCTGGTTCCGCTAATGCCCTGAAAAATTTTCCTTGGTATCTGTAAAGCTGTGCTGAGTAGATCTCGCTGTCCCCTGTTTTACCGGCGGTTTTGCTTTTTTATTTGCTCGGGAATGCTTCAGTCATATCGATGCGGCGCTGATTTTTTTCATGCCTCTTGATAAACGAAAATACTTCATCCGTGTAAAATTGATAAATGGTTCCTTGATTCCTTACTGACATTCAGTTTTAACTGTATCTACCGTGATTTACAGCGTGTGTTGTGCGCAGGTATGAGGCATTGTTCGCATGTTTCAAAATGGCCTAATCCCTGCCGAAGTCTCCCGTTTTTTCTTCGATAGTTAAGCTTGCAAGCTTTTCTTTCTCCCTTGCCGAAGTGAATTGGTTATCCCTTGGTGCGCATTTCCGCGTTTTCAAGAATTACAGTCGAAGAATCCTTGGAATACAATACCATTATTTAAGTTATTCACTGCGTAGAACCATCCAAAGTGCCTATTTTTGCATGGCGTCCAATCCGCTGTATTTTCATGATTGTTTTCAGCTACGGGATCGAGATGTTCTTGCATCCCTGTGGTGGCGACAGTCATGAATTTGGTATGCATGCTTCTTTATAGACTTAATTTGATGATCCGTTCTTCATTCGGGGGGTCATGGTTGTGGGCTACGTCTCATTAAGTAGGAATTCCATCCCCATCAAATGTCCAGCAAAGGAAAGTTGTGAAAATTAGCGTATTGCATGCTGTGCTTCTTCATTTGATTGTTGTAACACGCGGTTTTGGCGATGATTTCGAGCTGGTTTATTAGCATGGTCTTGGTATTTGGAATATTTATCGATAGATGCCGTGATTGTTTTTAGTAATAGATATGTGTCTGATTTAGGCGGGGACAACACCGCCAATGACGACTGTTCCGGCTACGGCGTGCGCCGTTTCTTCGTCGTTACATGGCGGTCCTAATGCGGCTGTTGACTTCGGTGTACATCCCGTCTGTGTTCCTCATCCAGGGCAATTTTCGACATTGAGTCAAAAGCTTATTGCTTTGCAAAGAGTACGTGTTGTCAGTATCCGTTGCTTGCAAAGTTTTTTTTTACTGTGAGAAACATTTATTAGGGTGGTTTGGATTGAGCTAGTGTACGTGAACATGTCCCAACGTTTCGGAGAAGACAAGAGTTCATGAATACTGTACTATCGGTGCACAATTTGTAGGCCATGCAATGGTACATAATTATTTTTGCTGTAATTTTTTTGCTTTGTTCTCGATAATACGCAACCGACAGCTCGATCATGTGGAAAAAACCTGGACTTTCTTCCTTTTTCCACTTGTAACGTTAACGACCATTTTATTCTTGTTATTCGAGATGTGGTTTGGCTTAAAACCTGGGTTGATTTCAGGATATATCCCGCTTGAGACTCGGGGATCCCGAACAAGAAACCGGACGGTTGAATTTGATGCAAGCGATTCAACAGATTCTCTCCAGCGAAGGACGCATTCCTGCTGATCCCATGTCTTCTGTAAGTTTTTGGAGAGTTTGGGGTAAATTGTAAGTTGACAAATACAAATTCCTTCAGCGCCCTCACTTCGCTATTAAATATTAACATACCGTACATCATTTGCCATTTTCAATCGTTCATGGAATGCTTTCTCGAAACGCGATGTCTTTCCATAAATCCCGATCCAGTACAGGTTTCGAAATGGTTTCCGGAACTTCTCAGTGGAAAAGTAATCCTATTATAACTTCCTGTATCGGATGTATCCGTTTCAAAGCAAGAAATGGATGGAACTAATTATGCATTTTCAAGTGTGAATACAGTACTGTATTGCTCCAATTTTTCATTGATCTTCTCTCCGAATGGCCGGCTGCATCTTCAAGGCACGAAGTGCTTTTTTTTCGGCGTCGGGTTGAAGCTTGGCTTCCACTTTCTTCGTATTTTTGGTGACGAAAATGGTAAATTGAGATTGAAAGATAACTTTTCTGATTACGGAGCGATCTGTTGCTCTTCCTGTCACCGTTTATCCATGAAGCGCCGTTTGATTGTGCAGGTGCGAGACGTTGGCTCAAAGCCATCAGCACAATTCGCTCCCGGAGGACAGGGTGTGCACGTGAACCCAGTGAATCCAGCTCTTCCCATTCATCAACGGGATGAAGGTAGGCCTTCCACGCCTTCCAATTTACCTAGCGCTCGCCAAGTATCGCGCTTCATCGTCAGCAAGGTTGAGGACCCGTCGTCCGAAGGCACGCGTTAGTATCCCGAAATTGACCTGCAGTTTTTTTGGTCCAGCATTCAGGCTCGCGCGCACATGTGATGCTGGTTACGTTATTACGGTTACATTCACGATAGAGCCCCTATGAAACTAGTTTTAACATTCATCAGTCCATTGTCAGCATTGCGATTGACGCCGTCGGAGGTTGTGATCTTGAAGACTTGTAGTTACTGACACTTCTCTGGTTTTCAGAATCAAAAATTTTGGAACGGGAAACCAATTTGGAAGATATTCAAGCTGCGTTTCAGCAAGTTCTGAATTATCAAATGATCGAAAATCAACAGAAGCGTATGGCTGCCTGTTATAGGGGTGATCACGCTTGTGAAGAAAGTCGTGTGCATGAAATGCCCTGCGCCGTTCACGAACACTCTGGGCCATCCGATGGCTTCCGAACGAAGGTTAGTGTGATGAGAGAACGATTCCAGCGAGCAAGTTTCGCTTTCATTTTCGTAGGGGCTTTCTTTATTGACACTATTGGAATATTTCTTGATTCTCTGGAGACCCTTTCCGGGTGGGTTTAGTTGAATTGGTTAAACTTGAAAATTTCTAATCTGTATCGGATGCTGGGTGTATTTATTGGAAGAAGCAATCGCACTTCACTATTTATTCAAAAAATTATTTCGGATATTTCAGGCGAATTTTGTCGAAGAACGGGACGAAATGACAGACCATCTCGTCGGTGAAGAAATGGCTCATTTTCATCACATGATCGCACGGTAGGTTCTTTTCTTTCTTTTCCGAGGTACGAGCGTATAATTTCGTAAATAATTGCGTCTACGAGACAGGTATCTTGAAAAGTTGCGTCTCCGCTCCTTTTGCAAAACTTGGTTTTTCGAAAAATTTAATTTTTTAAATGTATTACTCGGTTCAAGTTCGTTGAATATTAGGATACCTGATCAGATGACTGAAATCTAGGGTTGTATGCCATATTGAAACGTTTTTGTCTTGCGGGAAGACTGAGCTGAAGGAGGTAGATGAAGTCCTAAAAATACACATATGTTCAATGAATTAAAATCCGAATAATTCGTGCTCATGAAAGCTTTAAAAAGAAGTTATTTACTCGTTGTCCGGGAGAGTTGAGCTAATTCTAAAATGCATTTCGGGTGATGTTCAAAGTAATACATGCCATTCCTTTTGAAATTGAATCTGTCTTCATTTCTTCCTTGTGCAGCCACGAGATAGAAATGGCGAATTTGCGAGCTCTTCATCAGCGTGAGTTGGATGAATACAGGAAGCGGTTTATGACCCCGGCTGCTGCCGCGGCTGCCGGCAGCAATCAGCACGTCTTGTCTCGTAAGCGGACGACCGCAATTCCACCTGAGCAAATGTCGGCTTATCCTTATCCTGGTTTGTATGGCTATCCTCCGATGGCCTATGAAGATTTACGGGGCTTTTACGCTTTGGGCGAACAATCCGGAGTTCCTGATCTCTGTCCCCCAATTGACGGGGACGAACCTGACGAGACTTCTGAGAGTAGGTCATGGGACAAGTAATGCATGTTTTAGAGTTTTCTTCATAGTTCGGTCAACCCGGTTTTATTTTCTATTAATGTAGTTCACTTCGTAGTTCTTCTCCCCGCCAGTTTTTCGAGCATTCTCTCGATTTTCGTCCGTGTACCGAACGAATTGAATATACTGTACTTCGCGAATCTTGGACGTGAAGGTTTCTTGCGAATAGGATGATTCATAAATGAGACATTCTAAAATGTGCAAACGTGTGCTCTTGTGTGATTTTATGGAGTGTTCAGATTCAAAGTCTGTAAGTGTGATGAAAGTGTGAATTTTCTTTGAAACGCCGTTACACATTTTCATCTGTCGTGTTGATCCTTGATCGTCCTCTAAACCGTTGGTTTACTTCATTCGCTGAAAGTGGCCGTCTTTTTTCGGAAATTGTGCGGGCATTTTCGCGGAGTGTTTTTTTTTTCGGGCTTCGTTGTTTCATACTGTTTTCGACTATTCCAGAATTTCAGCTCAGGTTAGATTAAACTTCATTCAAGGTTTGGTTGTAGCGTTTTCGAACGGGTGACAGCCTTGAAAAGCAGATGGCACGAGTAATGTTTTGCGTAATTCGGCCTTACAACTTCCCTGTGCCTATTCCTCTGTCGCTTCTGCATGAGGTGCTAGCCATTTTTTGCCTGTTCACGACGCTTTGCACGATGTCTCACGATATTCTCAACTTGAAAATCAGGTTCCGGCTCAGCCATGGCGATGCGCAAGATCAGCGCAGACACCCAGTGTGCTCAGCCACCTACGCCGCAGTACATGTCCGATGCGCATTACTACACTGTGCCAGCGCTGGCGGTGTCTGGTCCAAGTCAGCCGGTTGTCTGCGGTGGGATGGACCCAGGATCTGGACTCCGATTACCCCTCGGGCCCCGTCCACCGCCTCCTTTCATTTCCGAAGCCATGGCATACTACTATCCACATCTTCAGGCTGCTCATTTAGGATATCCTCCCCCGCATGTTCTCAACGGTAATATTGCATCTTGCTCTGCTGACGTGCACAAGACACGATGTATTCATTCGATTATACCGCGTCTCTAACTCGATATTTGGGGGACTTCTGAGAGAAAAAAAAACCATTCGAATGTTTTTCCAGGAGGATTGCCGCCTCACTTGGGATTGGGGGAGGAAGGTGAAAGCACACCGCCACCACGGCGGTCTCAGTCAGTAGCTCAGGCCCCAATCGGGCTCCAGCGGCAGCAAGGAGCGACATCAATGGGAGTCTACTCGTACCAGTCTCCAACCTTTGCGTCAGTAGCACCTCGTCTAAGAGCTGCGTATATGGCCCCAGCGCCAACTTACTATTCCTACTCCGGTGCCCCCTCTCCTTACCCTCACAGGGTACAGCACGCGTTTCCTCCTCCTATGGGTGAGTGATGCACGGTTATGTTGCGAGCTAATGCTGGGGGCTCGAAAAGTTGAGGCAGTGGCGAAGGTCCGACTGAAGTTTCAATGAAGTTCTACGAAGAGTATGAAACTTCATCTTACGACAAATCCCGGAAATGCAACCAAGAATATTCGAAGCATGTCCGTATTCATGAGGGTTTTCAGTCCGCCGTGTAGGATTTCGGGGAGTTACATACATGGAAGTCGCATATGGGGAAGATGTAACGTCGTGGAAAAAGGGGGTAAAATTAGCTGATCCCACCAACGTAGGATATTTCGGATTATCCGATTCCGATTTCCCCATGCATTATTTGTCCTCTCTCCTGACTAATCCATACATTGCTACCAGGACTTCCAAGCTTCACGGGTTTCTTTCATTTTATAGCATGTAGAAAAGGTCAGAGAGCTGGTCCGGGGGATTAAGGGTAAAAGTTTTAAGTACGTACAGTTCGAAAGTCTGACGACTGTCAGCTGTGTACTTCCCTATCTGCCCTTGTTCCAATTGGTTGGGAGAATCTGAGTTTTACCGTACAGTATTCGAATGCCATTATAACCTTGTGAATACCATACTGCATAATGAATGCGAATATTGTGCAGGTACCTTTCTCATGGGATACTTTTGAACGTGTTTTCCGGTTTTTTAGGAGAACGTGAACTACTGCATTATGTAACGGCAGCGACGAACATGGCATCGCAAACAGAATCATCGGAACCAACAGGTGTTCCGACGAGCGGTTATCAGTAGCATTTTTTTCCGGTGATGAAGCCATGAGGCAAGTTCTCCACAACAGTTCACTGCTCTGACTGTAGAATTTTGTCAGGAAAGAAGTCCATGGAATACTCATTTAGCGCATTCGGTTGACGAGTGAAATTTTGTTTGCTTAAACCCCTCTTTGTCTCGCCGTTTGTCTTCCCATACCACGTACGACGACTTCGTGTATTGCTTGCATCAAGCAGGATTCCAATTCCCGACGTGTACTGTTAGACATTACTGTATTTCTGCTTCGGCGCTAACCGTGAACTTCGCGTAGTTTCCCACCATTTGATTACTTCAATCACATCAAGTTTTAGCGAATCACGCTTCTGAGTGAAGTTTTGCGCATGTCGACTCTGGATTTTGTATCAAAGTTTTGCCATGATGAGCTAATGTTCTGATGTTAACTGACAGTAAATTCATGCGCACATGCTCCACGACGGTGAACCGTTTCGTAAATGCGGTATCCACGTTGTTCTTTTTTTTTCAAGAATCACGATGCATGTGTGAAAGAGGCGCCGCGCCGCCTTTTTAAGCTGTATGTCAGGAGAGCCCTTGTGACGGGATTTTTTTTTTCGTGGTCAGACTGTAAAACTGTGAACTTGGTGTGCAAAGCCTTTCGACTTCGTGGCGTGACGAGAGTGTACCTTGTCGTTCAGTGTAGTACATGTCGTGACCAGATAGCAGGTCGTTCATGTGTGATGAGAGAACTGGGATATTAGAATGCTTGAAAGAGCGGATTGAGGCATGGCTCAGAACCTTAGCCGCGATCAGTTTTCTTTTCCAGCAAGTTGGCTGCAATTTGTGATAAGCTACGTTTCAGACATGAGACAAAGAAATTGGTTTATTCCGACCTATCTTCGGTCGTTACTTGCTTGCTGTCCTAAATCCGAAGATCGTGATTTTCCACGGAATTCGCGTTCATTTCTTGTGTTCTGCGGATTATTCTGGCATCGGCCGAGCACGGAATGCCAGATCACGCGTGCAGCAGATGCAGCATTTTCTTGGGCGTCATGAAACCGACGGTAGTCATGATTTGGGCTCTGAATGACTGTCACCAGGCGAAACGTGGCATGTATAGTCAGGTTATTGATGTTCTGAGTTTTTCCGCGATTTTAGCTGGGTAGAAGTGGCACGTGTGGACGCAGGGTTTCTTCGAGGGTTTAAATACATTTGTTGTTTCTGGGCTTCTAGGAGAGAGGAGGCGTTAAATTTTGACACTAGTGTCTTCCGGGTAGTGGCATTGCGGACGTTTCCAATTTTGCGGTAGTATAACGTACGGTGGCCGACGAGTCGAGGTTCAATTTACTCTTCGATTATTTAATAGTTTCTTCCACACCGACCCCGGACGACTACCCAGACGTTTGAAAGGAGCGCACTTGTTGCGGGTCGCTCCTGTCCGTTTTTGTTCAAATTTGTGAAGTTGGGCTTTTTGAAAACCTGATTTCAGTCTTCTGTGTCGGCTTATTATTTTGTGATACGAGAAGATGGTGAAATAAAGCTTGTCGTACGGAGCCTTCCTTTCCATTTGAACTGAATAATCGTGTGGATTCTCCGCCAGAATGTAGATCAGTAGAAGATGGAACGCAAGTCCGAAGACGGGCTTGTAGATTTGATCATACGTTTCCGTCCAAGCAAGATTGATTTCAAAATGTATAAGTTATTAAAATTTAGTCCTGCTGTAAAATGGCAGATATACTGAGTGGACCGATTTTTGAACATGTTCATTCCTCACGCTGATGGTGCACGAAAGGAGATACCTTTTACAATATATGTACTGCGTTTCACTTCATGAAGCGCATATACAGCTGGACTTTCTCTGCGGTAAAATTAAGATTACCAGAAAAAAATCGTTATGGAGAGAATTTCTTTTGTAGAGAACCTCTATAATATTTGTGAAAACCTGTCTGTTAGGAAAATAATTTTGTTGCTGACAAGATCGTCTTAGAGAGTCTATTTCCATCTGAAGACAGAAAATCGTTGTAGAGGAGATTGTTGTAGACTATGTAGAGTCGACCTATATTACCGTATGCTGATTCACCTGACCTTCAAACCTCAGGATAGGATTCCCTAGGGAATCCACCGGGAACAATTGTTCTCAATCTGTAATTTTTCATTGTCACTCCAGGGAGATGGAAATGAGAACTATTGTTCATCAAAAGATAAATGGGTAATATGAAAATCTCGTTCTAGCATTACAATGAGGATCATTGAGCACATTCAAGGACAATTGCTGGCCCATGAATTCAAACAAAATGCCATTGAAAGAGGACTTCATTCTTCATGCAACCTGTCAACTTGACTTACATCCAGCCATATGTTAGTTTTGTCTACTGTACTTATTCTACTTCATTTTTGTCGGAGTTCAGGGAAATGTAAAAAATGTCGAGACGACGACGTGCAGGCGAAAATTTAGCTATCCTTTTCTTGAAAACTTGACCCTACACAAAACATGCTTCAAATATATGCGGAAACTGAAGAGAAAATGCTAATTTCAATAAGCAAAACTTCATTGACTACGTCATAGCTAGAACACGAAAATTGTGTATTTTCACAAAGTTTGGGAAACCCACCAAATCTGATTCACATTACTCTCAGCAGAAGATTCGAGGTAGGAAGAAGTTGTGTTAAACAAATGATGTTATTTATGCGCGGCATTCGAAAAACAAGCCCAGCTCGTACTTGAAAAGGGCTTCTTGATATAAGTTTGCGTCATTCACGGTTGGGTTCCATGGTAAGCCGGATTTCCGAATTTTTCGACGGTCCTCGGGTACGTATTTTTGACGCTTTATGCACAAATGTCGTGAGCTCTCATCCATATGTTGGCTTCGGGTGGATACATATATATTCGATCCTTTTGCCTGGGGTAGCTGACTTCATCGTGAGTAATTGTAGCACAAAAATATTGCAGTGGAAGTTCATAACGGAAACCCAACTTGGCAATACTTCTGATCAAGTGCATAAAAGTTGTTATTCACCTCCATCATTGTGTTCCGACTCGTTTCCGCGTGCCTTCGTAATCTATACGCGGAAAACCTTCTAGGGATTTTGGAAAGATCAAGGCTTTTACGTTGTTTCTCATCATTGTATTGTACTCTGCTTGTGGATTTCTCGTCGTAAATAATGAGCAAGGTCTTGACCCGAGACGCTTCTAAATTTACAGTTGAGAGTACAGGTCAAGCGATATCGACGGATCAGTTTTCGTGAATGAAGCGAAGGGGATCCGAGGACAGAGACGTTAAGATGTCGGCGTGGACGACACCCGGATGGAGCTCGCCGGCCGGTCGGGGTATCCATGAGGTTGCTCCCTCCCGCCCTCAGCATACCCCCAATGACAAGCCCACAGCTGGTCCCGAACCCCTGACGAGCACCGCAGCGGTTACCGAAGAAATGTAAGCAGTTTTCTTGTGCCATTGTCAGCGACTGATTTAGTATATTGTTTAATCCACATTTTCTTTTGATGAACATTCGAAATAAGGGCCGTGAATTAAACTTTTGAACCGATGCGCCGAAAGGAGGACTGTCGCAGCAGCAAAGAAAATCTAAGCTCCATGAAAGCTGACGAAACTTGTTGAAGTGTGCATTTAATCATAAAACGCGGATTTTGAACGGATCAGCAAAGACCCGTAGTTTTTAAAATCGGTTTCATCGGAAAAAAANTGTGGACGCAGGGTTTCTTCGAGGGTTTAAATACATTTGTTGTTTCTGGGCTTCTAGGAGAGAGGAGGCGTTAAATTTTGACACTAGTGTCTTCCGGGTAGTGGCATTGCGGACGTTTCCAATTTTGCGGTAGTATAACGTACGGTGGCCGACGAGTCGAGGTTCAATTTACTCTTCGATTATTTAATAGTTTCTTCCACACCGACCCCGGACGACTACCCAGACGTTTGAAAGGAGCGCACTTGTTGCGGGTCGCTCCTGTCCGTTTTTGTTCAAATTTGTGAAGTTGGGCTTTTTGAAAACCTGATTTCAGTCTTCTGTGTCGGCTTATTATTTTGTGATACGAGAAGATGGTGAAATAAAGCTTGTCGTACGGAGCCTTCCTTTCCATTTGAACTGAATAATCGTGTGGATTCTCCGCCAGAATGTAGATCAGTAGAAGATGGAACACAAGTCCGAAGACGGGCTTGTAGATTTGATCATACGTTTCCGTCCAAGCAAGATTGATTTCAAAATGTATAAGTTATTAAAATTTAGTCCTGCTGCTGTAAAATGGCAGATATACTGAGTGGACCGATTTTTGAACATGTTCATTCCTCACGCTGATGGTGCACGAAAGGAGATACCTTTTACAATTTATGTACTGCGTTTCACTTCATGAAGCGCGTATACAGCTGGACTTTCTCTGCGGTAAAATTTAGATTACCAGAAAAAAATCGTTATGGAGAGAATTTCTTTTGTAGAGAACCTCTATAATATTTGTGAAAACCTGTCTGTTAGGAAAATAATTTCGTTGCTGACAAGATCGTCTTAGAGAGTCCATTTCCATCTGAAGACAGAAAATCGTTGTAGAGGAGATTGTTGTAGACTATGTAGAGTCGACCTATATTGCCGTATGCTGATTCACCTGACCTTCAAACCTCAGGATAGGATTCCCTAGGGAATCCACCGGGAACAATTGTTCTCAATCTGTAAACTTTTCATTGTCACTCCAGGGAGATGGAAATGAGAACTATTGTTCATCAAAAGATAAATGGGTAATATGAAAATCTCATTCTAGCATTACAATGAGGATCATTGAGCACATTCAAGGACAATTGCTGGCCCATGAATTCAAACAAAATGCCATTGAAAGAGGACTTCATTCTTCATGCAACCTGTCAACTTGACTTACATCCAGCCATATGTTAGTTCTGTCTACTGTACTTATTCTACTCAATTTTTGTCGGAGTTCAGGGAAATGTAAAAAATGTCGAGACGACGTGCAGGCGAAAATTTAGCTGTCCTTCTCTTGAAAACTTGACCCTACTCAAAACATGCTTCAAATATATGCGGAAACTGAAGAGAAAATGCTAATTTCAATAAGCAAAACTTCATTGACTACGTCATAGCTAGAACACGAAAATTCGCTGTGTGTATTTTCACAAAGTTCGGGAAACCCACCAAATCTGATTCACATTACTCTCAGCAGAAGATTCGAGGTAGGAAGAAGTTGTGTTAAACAAATGATGTTATTTATTCGCGGCATTCGAAAAACAAGCCCAGCTCGTACTTGAAAAGGGCTTCTTGATATAAGTTTGCGTCATTCACGGTTGGGTTCAATGGTAAGCCGAATTTTTCGACGGTCCTCGGGGACGTATTTTTGACGCTTTATGCACAAATGTCGTGAGCTCTCATCCATATGTTGGCTTCGGGTGGATACATATACAGTATATTCGATCCTTTTGCCTGGGGTAGCTGACTTCATCGTGAGTAATTGTAGCACAAAAATATTGCAGTGGAAGTTCATAACGGAAACCCAACTTGGCAATACTTCTAATCAAGTGCATAAAAGTTGTTATTCACCTCCATCATTGTGTTCCGACTCGTTTCCGCGTGCCTTCGTAATCTATACGCGGAAAACCTTCTAGGGATTTTGGAAAGATCAAGGCTTTTACGTTGTTTCTCATCATTGTATTGTACTCTGCTTGTGGATTTCTCGTCGTAAATAATGAGCAAGGTCTTGACCCGAGACGCTTCTAAATTTACAGTTGAGAGTACAGGTCAAGCGATATCGACGGATCAGTTTTCGTGAATGAAGCGAAGGGGGATCCGAGGACAGAGACGTTAAGATGTCGGCGTGGACGACACCCGGATGGAGCTCGCCGGCCGGTCGGGGTATCCATGAGGTTGCTCCCTCCCGCCCTCAGCATACCCCCAATGACAAGCCCACAGCTGGTCCCGAACCCCTGACGAGCACCGCAGCGGTTACCGAAGAAATGTAAGCAGTTTTCTTGTGCCATTGTCAGCGACTGATTTAGTATATTGTTTAATCCACATTTTCTTTTGATGAACATTCGAAATAAGGGCCGTGAATTAAACTTTTGAACCGATGCGCCGAAAGGAGGACTGTCGCAGCAGCAAAGAAAATCTAAGCTCCATGAAAGCTGACGAAACTTGTTGAAGTGTGCATTTAATCATAAAACGCGGATTTTGAACGGATCAGCAAAGACCCGTAGTTTTTAAAATCGGTTTCATCGGAAAAAAAATTAAGCGAACCATATTGGCCATTATTTATGCAAAAGAATAAAATACCTGTACGGGTGGATATCGTATAACAAACTTGATGCAAAACTTCAAAAATGCAGTATTTCATTTGCGGAAAGTAATTCCATTTAATGTCTGGATTCTTCTTTTTTTCAACTTCTAAGTTTGAAAATTAACTGAGTACATTATTTAAATTTTTTTAGTCGTATGATTTCACATAATGTGATTATAAATTCATTGCATCTTCAATATAGTTCATGTTTCAGAAGAAGAAGAAAAGTCTCAGCAAAGAAGCAATAACCAAGTCCTCCAAAGTTCATTTCTGTTCCTCTTGGTTCTTCCGAAGCCGAAACCCCTTCTTTAATTTCAATAAAAGACATTGCATTTTGAGACTTGGATCAGTAATCTTACAAACATCCCAGGTGTCGAGCAAATTTATTGCTTTTCCAGCATAAACATATATAGAGGTGCTCGTGAGTTCAACAGTCTATCACGATGTGACGGTTTTTAATTTAGATGAGTTTTTATAATCAACATGCCAAAAAACGTGTTCTGAATACATTATAGCGCTCAGAATTTCAAGTGTGAGATACAGTAGACTCTCGTTACAACAAAATCTGTGTGTGGGATCTGAAAAATGTCTTGTGATGCTTTTTGCTGTTCAATAAATCTATACTCCAGAAAAATATAGAAGAAAACTACAGGAAAGACCTTATCTTTGTACTAAGCACGAACTTATAAGCCAGATTCTTCTGTGAAATACTGTGCATTGATTATCCACACCGAAATAATATCTTGTTCTGGTTTTAGGCATTTTGTTCGGTAATGATGTAAAATACAGGTCGACTCTCTCTACAACAAATTTCTCTGTGGAACGATTTTACCATAGGATTCTCCACCAATCATATAAGGGTTCTCTGTGCAGCGAAATTTTCTCGAAAACTTTTTTTTTTCTGGTCACCTGAATTTTCTCAATTGTAGTGAGAAGTCCACCTGTATTTTATAGCATGGTTTCCAAATGCAACCTCTATGCATGCTGACTACGAATCAAAAATCATGAAACTCCGATTTTCGTTTCAATGGTAGTCATGAATAATTTCATCCGCTCATAAAATATAACCTCAAGAACCAGGTCGAATTGCAAAATGCACTCGAAACGTCTCAATTCAATCTCGCAAGAAAGGAAAAGTCGACGGAGATTCCGTGCTTGTTTGTAACCTTCGTGAAGAAGAGCCTTTCTTGCCGACGGCCGCCGGAAGTCTCGGTAGCTCCCCGACCTCGGGGGTCTCTCCGTCGTCATCGCTATGGCTACAGCCGTTTGTTTCGTAAAATATATCAGTTCAGTCTTCGCTTCAGCGCGTATATATAGGTGCCATCGACGCGCGGCATGTTTCGACTGTACACTATAAGTGGAAAAAAAAATCCCGACCCGGATGACCACGCTCGTTCTGTCCTCTGTGCCAAAAACCCTCAACACTGTATCTTTGGCGTGTGTGAATAACATATCCCCTCCGTCCTCGCGAAAAATTCTGCATCGAACATTTTACAGAAGGAAACATAAGGAAGAGCAGTGAGAAATGCGAGGGGTCGGAAATGTCTTATGGTCGTTCTCTTTTATGTGTGGAAAATTTCCTTAATCTTCGTATACTCGTATGTAATAAGGTGCATAATCCTTGGTCAATGGTATTGGTCATATCCTAACCATAGTTCCAAGTTTTTATTGGCTGAGTTGATTTAAAAAGAAGTTATATAATGACTTCAAATAATATTTCATGCATTGGCAGACATCAATCTATCTGCGCTACCGAATATGTCAACTAAAATACTTGTCAGTGAATATCCCAGATTTAAAAACACTGTCATGAATTTTTCAGATTTTGTATCCTTGGAGGTGAATGCTGTAAAGATTCGCCTTAAAATTTCAATAGCAATAATTAGACACATGTCAGCAAGAAGTTGTCCAAGTTAAATCTGCAGTACGTGTATATAGTTGAAGATTATCAGCATATGATCATTTTCTTCAGCCATATAACCCAAGCAAGTTTATTCACAATTTTTTCAAAGTAATTGTGACAGCTTGGAAAATTCTGTTATTCTTCAAAGAATATGATGCGAAAAATGATCATCACCGAGCAACTAATTGAAGTAAATTTCCCGAGGTGAAAGAGTCGCTCGTCATGCTTTACAGTACTGTACACATATACACCGTAAATAAATGGCTATTCTATTCATCAAACGACAAAAAGAAAAAATGTAAGCTCGTCCAATCTAGTTTATAAGGGGCACCTTATTTCTGGATTTTCAATTAAAAATCCAGCGCACCAGCAGTTGCAATCGAACATGCAGTCCGGGTTTATAAAGTTACAATAAGTTGTAAATGGTTATTATATACACTATGCATAAAGGTTTTACCATACAGCAATTGCAAGTCGCTTATGAAGTCGATCGGGTCAATATTTAACTTGCCAGAAAAAAAGTTCCGCGATTATACGGTGCATTTTCCCGTAAGATTTTAGCATTTTATACGAGGTATAGTCGTGCATAAGGCACATTTCAGCTCGCTTTCGTATTTCCGTGTCTATGAGGTTCGTTTACTTCTAGCGAAATAAATGGAAAAAGTTGCGTAAAGTTTTATTGCCATTCACTGAATGCTAAGTTTGACAAACGTTGATATAAAAGAGGAAAACTTGATTAAATTCATTTCCACCCAACGAGTGCACACATGGAAATGCAACTGAAAAGCTCGACACTGCTGCTACTGGAATCTATCCTTTTTGATTATCTTTGCCGTCCTATATCCAAGTTGAAAAAATATCTAAAACTTAGAAATATATATCTTCATACAGTATAATAGCGAAATTTTCCCGCCTATGACTAGATTCACGTCATTTTAAGCCGCGCTGGTATGAGAACCGTCAACCCCTTGCTGAAAGCACGCGACATTCGAACCTTTTCAATTTACAGGGTATCTGTGTATGTTTCATTTAGACGCTCACATGGCTTGAAATCTTTAATGCATTTGGCATCTTCCAAAATATAATTGAACGAGCTTCAATTTGATGTTTTTAACGGCATATGTTCAACAGTGCAGGAATTTTGAAAAATCAGTCCAATTCCTTTTGACCAGCATTTGCTGAAGGGTGTACGTAACTATGGATTCAAGGAGACGGAGGGTTTTTCTTTATATGCACGTAGTATAAATGTAAGAACTATAACGAGTGTAATATGCATAAAACAAAATACGCTGAACGAATTTGTCAGCAGAAAAGTTTACGATCAAGTTGAAAAGTTCCTCGGGTCTCTGTGCATCAGAACGAAAGAAAATTGAACCTCAAGATATTTTTTGTTGAGAAATTACTGTAGCTCAAAACGAACCGTGCGCGTGGCGGCTGGTAAACTTCGTCAAAAATTACGGCACGAATATTGCACTGCTTGCACGTCATTTTGAACCTCAGTCCTAAAATGCACATTATAACATAACAAGGGAACACCAGCGCAGAAGCAGGCCTTCAGGCATTTTATGTATTTTTTAAAATCTTCTGACGTCACTTCTCGTTCTCAATACAGATTTAATTTAACAACTTCCTGAATCTTTTGGGAAATTTTTTTCCAGGCAACGAAGTTTGATGGAATATTTTTCAAGGAACAAACCTCCCATGCGTAGCCTTTTTGGATCCAGCGTCAATCATGATGCAGGTATTTTTTTATCCGTATGAAGTATACCGAGGGAAATCCCAGGTCAAGATACAGAAATCACCACGTCATTCGGCACTTGCAAAAATTTTCCCCGCAGAATTTGAAAATATACGGCTTATATTCTTGCAACCACCTCGCGGATGGCAGCGCAGAAAATTCATTCTTCTCAGTGGATTTCATTCAAACAACGCCATTGAAGTGAAGTACGTTTACAAAACCGTGAAATAAATCAAGGAACTTCGGTTAAATGACTCGCCCATCCTGATCCATTACAATTAACAGATCAGAATATGATTTGCGCAAATGCAATGCTTGTTCCAGAATTATAAAGGCAATGAGAACCCTGTGAACATATTTCCTTCAGAAAAGAAGGATGTGTACGCACAAGGCTAGCTGATACAAATAAAACTCACACAATCGTCTGCCATAATACAAAGGTTCAAGTTTCAATTTCAATTCAATGCAGTAAATACCGTGCTCATAAATTGCATTGATCTATCAACTTTAACTTTACCATCATCGCATAATGCATCCGACAGCTTGAGAAATCCATGGCCTGGTGATACAGATCTCAACAGGGAATTCTCTACGCGTGCACTGACGGACATTTAGAACCGTCGTGAAGAAGTAGAGGGTTTGCCATAAGAACCACGTATGTGAAAATAAATTTTAATTGGAAAATAAGTTTTAAAAAAGCGACATCATGCGCGTACAACGTCCACGGTGCGAAAAAATAGAAATGAGAAATGAACTTCTCATATTTCAGAGAACAATAACAGGAATGCGAAGTCGAGTGCTCGAGTTTATTTTCTCAGTATGTTTAATTTTTCTGATCAGCGCTTCAAGCATTTGTTTTACGAATGATCATTCGAATTTCATGTGGCTCATGGGAGCATCAAGAGATGAAGTGTTGTTGTTCGTTATTAGTCTCGATGCAATGCATTGGAAGACGAAGAATGTCCCGGTTGAACAAGTACAGTACAATATTTTGCTTAATCTCCATTCGCAGGGTTTTCCGATTCATCACTGGCAAACCATGGGTGCAAGCAGTGAATAGAAAAGAGCAAATCTGATTCGGCTTCCGAACACTTACCGAAGAAACGTATAAGTCAGGGGATACCCCAAGAATAATGGAAACTTTGTTCGGAACAGGCAAACTCAGCCAGTCCTACTTCGATTCCCTCGACATCTCGGCGAATGCATCGGCTTTCTACGACTTCGACGTGAACGCGTCCACGTTCTTTGATGCGGAGAGACAATTTGATTACAGGGAAAGTTTGCTGAAGGTGGATCACTTGTATGGGAAATGGCTGCCACTCTTCTCCGTCATCTACTTGATGCTGATATTCGGTGGGATGCGGGCAATGAAAGCGAGGGCAGCGTTTCGTCTCACGAGGGCTCTCAGGATTTGGAACTTTCTGCTCGCCGCAATGAGCATAGTTGGTACCTGGCGAACTCTCCCCGAAGCTTGGTCCGTCGTTAGCAAACAAGGAGCTTATCCGGCAGTCTGCATATCAGCGTAAGTCAGCATTTAAATCCTTCAAGAGCACCAAAAAATAGAACTTTCGAAAAACCTGAATGCATCCGAGTATAATTCAGATGCATCTTCACGCAACATTAGGCTCCGCTCGCTCACTCACTCATTCATCAAGAAAATCGATGGAAAACTCGCTAATTTGTGAATGCTGGATAAGCATGAGCCGAACTGGTTTTACTCAGATCTCCTGGCCTGTAAGAAGCTACATTTTTTGAAAGATGCATGGGTTTACTTTCTTTTCTCACGAGAATTAAACTGTCAATTACGTATTTACATTTCAGTTGCAAAACTGGAAGATTCTACTGAAGATAATGCTTGAAAATCAGGTTCTTACATTTTATGTGCACGATTCTAATGATTTTTCGTTGAAATAAATATCGCCTACCCCGTAGATAAATCCTGACATAGTTTTCAGACACCTTTATAGTGTATAAGCCCTATCTCGAAAATTACAATTAAAAAACTATATGCGTCTACTAAATTTGTCAGTCGTGCAAATTGGCCTTGTCGATGCACAAACTAACGAAATACGAATGATTTAAAATCCCCTTCAGAAAAGCAAATTGGAAAATAATTATAGTTTCCCACGAAATTGCGGTGTTTGACCAAACACAATTGTTCGACTTCGACAAGTACAGAATTTACCCCGTAAATACCTCAATTTATAAGCCTTAATGTATTTTCTCCTCATAGAAGACGGTCAACTGCATAAGACGTGACCTACTTTTCGGGGCAAACGGTGCACTGCGCCTCGTAGAAAAAAGTACGCGAACAGAAATAATGCAGAAAATAAAAACTTCCCGGAATCATGGCTGTATTTTTCATGGCTGCGTTTTTTCAGCGCATGAAAAAAAAACCGTGACTAAGTTTTTCCTGATACAGTATATGAAATCGAAGTTCCAGATGGATTGATCTTTCGTTGCAGGTACTTCTTCAAAAAACATGCCTCCGCCTTCTGGGCGCTGATATTCACGGTGTCCAAACTCTTCGAATTCGGCGACACTTTCTTCCTCGTTGCCAGGAAACGACCAGTCATCTTCCTGCACTGGTATCACCACATCTCCGTCATGTTCTTCTCATACTACTGCTTTCGCCACGCGATCGCCGTTTCCCGATGGTTCATGGTCATCAACTTTCTTGTCCACTCTGTCATGTACTCGTATTATATGGCACGTTCCATGTCCATTCGCGTTCCAAAGGTTGTTTCTATGCTCATAACGTCACTCCAAATTTTCCAAATGGTCGTTGCATCGGGAACCATATTTCTGTCTATGTATTACAAGTACATCGGACTCCCGTGCAGCATCACTATTCGCGAAGGATGTGTATTTTCTCTTCTTTACGGCAGCTATTTCGTTCTTTTTGGAAAGTATTTCGCGAATACGTACATCAGGAACTGGCAGGCCAAAAAAATTCGGACCGATTAAATGTTTGAATTGAAAATTTCATAAAGTTCCGTGTAAATCGTATCCAACTCGCCTTTATTCCGAGAGAAATTCGTTGACCCGATTATTGAGTACCATAGAGGATCACATTTCAATCATTGACCATGCCAACAACGAGTAAAAAGGGGCCGAGGAACTGACGGAATAATCGCCGGACGTTTTATGGTACTGTATTTAATGGAAAATTTTGTGAAGAACACGAACTACGTTACGCTGCGAACATCTCGAATTGTGAAGGAAGGTCAATATTCGCGCAAGACAAAAATTGTATGCTGGTTAATCCGTGCGATTTCATTCACAACGGATGAGATGAAAAATGACATTTTTGATGACCAATTGACTCGAAATGATTTTTAAACTTCCATCGGACAGACATTTAGTTCGATGTCCACGGCAAATGCTCCTTTACTGGTCATGTTTTAGTATAGGAATTGAATCTGAATGGCTCGACAGCTACAAAATGAAAGTGCTTCAGATATTGATCGAAAATCTAAGTCTACTACATAATGCTGATGTGAACACACGTGCCTGAAGTACGACAGCACACCGTCAAAATACCAACGGAGGAGGAAAACCTTCATTATAAACAGAGAATTCATTTTTTCGACTATGATTCATGGATTTGTTCCGTTTTTCTGTACGACATATAGTGTACGAGTATATCCTTCAAATGAGAACGAAATACCGTAATGTCTTGAAAAAGTTACATTTTATAAAATCTCCGCGGATAAGTGCAATGCATTGGCGTTCTCCCGTTCATTTCTGAAGGAACAGCAGTCAATGATTCATCAATAAACACATCATTTTTCAAAAAGTGTATCACACACAGTCAGTCGGACCAAGAAACGTATCCTACGTTCAAAGAGAAAACAACTTCTTGAATATATTTGAGACCTCTACGCTTATAAATTCGAATTCACATTTTTTTAAATTGGAAAACCGAAAGATGGGTATGCATCAGTGCTGCTGTACTCATTCAATCAGCATGAGAGGATTTTTTTATGAAAATAGTACTGTATTGCACATGTTTTGAGACTAAATCGAAACTGTATACAGTACTGTAATACCAATCATGTTGTTACAAGTTTATTCGCCCGGCTGATACAAAGAACGTGAAGTTAGTAAACAAAATCCTTAAAAACATACTGCTGCGCAACCACAGCTGATACTACAGCAGTATCATGGTATTGACAACAGCATTTTTTATTCGTTTTGATCCAGGGAGCTTAACTGTGTTTATCCCTTGATATATTCGAGGTAGACAGGATCAGGTACAACATTTTCAATAGCAGAACTGTAAAATGAAGCTTATTTTGCCGATGGATGCTCGATTCAATCATACAGAGGAAGCTGGATTTTCAGGAAGTTTTTGGATTGCCTTGCAAGAATCCTCAGTGTCCAGAACTGAAAACAGAAGTGCTGGAATTGCACTTCCCGAGATGAAGTGGGGGAATACTGTTCCCTGACTTCCAAGAAAATCCGGGCGAAGGTTCCAGTTTGGATGCATCTTATTGGTATCACACACGACTCGGGTATGCGGAAAGATCTCAGTTCTTATGACGGGATAATTTGAGATGATAGTGTATGTTGGACTAACATTTCGATCGAATAGGGATTGCGGAGTGATGAAATGAACGAAAATGAATCCTATCAATAGGGGCACCTCTCTCAACTACCGCACTATCTGTCACTGAAGACGATAGATCTAAAACTCGCCCTCTCTGATTCAATAGTGTGGCTTCCGCTTTAGTAATAATGCGTTTTCATGTTTTTTTTATTTCAATGAACCCAGCCCTTCATCCGAGAATTACCTATACATGAACTGAACAATGAAGTTTACCTCCTTATTCCCATTATTCTCCGCTTCTTGTTTCTCTGGAAATCCTTTTTCTAGGACAAGAATACTGATCAGTTTGAGCTGAACATACTGTCAATTGCCAGTCACCAAAAGCAACTCCAATTTTTTTATTTTTTTTTATTTGAAGACCTTCTCCAATATTTCTTGTCCAGCTGTTGAGATTTTTGAAAAGCACCTCATGATGTGTCTTCACTTACGGAATTTTTTGACCGAGTGGTGCCCGTGACGATTATACTGTAATACAGTACTGTATGCACGGCCTTTCACGAACTTTCTGACCGAATTACGTCTGATTGGATTCCAAATGTTCCCATGACGTCTATTCTACACTCTCTTTAACAGCCAAGGTGAGTTCCCTGAGATATGCGCCCACTTCCACATCCGGATTCGTTTTGTTCAAAACACATTGAAGCTCAAAAAGCCGAACGATTTTGATTCAAGAAAGTTAGGCTTTCCGGGAGCGCAATATTGCAGGGCGCCACCATGCTTAACCGGTGTTTCTATCGACTGCATCCGCGCACAGAATCTTTCACCAGCACTTCGCTTCAAAACCAGGATTTCTAAAAGCGATGAACAAATGCAGTCCTCTTTTCTTCCTGAGTGATCCGGAAAACTAGCAGAAGTTGGTTTTGTGGTGATACAGGTAGAATACAAGATCTAATGCAACAAAATTAACGAGACGAAAATAAAATTCGTTGTATATACAGTAATACATTTTGTCAAAACCAAATTTTTCATAGCCGTGTCACAACATCACATCAAACAAATTTTCAGTTTCTTGGCAGGATTATATACTCTTGCAAAATTTCTTCATCGAAAGCAATAGGAAATATTGCCAGACAAGTCTTCACAGACTTTCTACGTAACCTCTGACATTATTTTTGCGGAAAATTTTTCCACCGTTGCTGTGTGGCAGTGAATATTCAATCACACTTTCTTCCCGTCAAGTCATGCTGTATACAGGAAGGAGGAACCGAAAGTTGCAAAATTCTGATACATTCAAAGGAAATACAAGATCAACCATCACCATCGTATTATGTTTTATGCAGCATCTTAAAAATGCTATCCAACAGGATTTTTGAAGCATTTTGTCGTCTGCCTGCATGTTGATTTTCTGCCAGGGAGATTTGAATTATTAGTTTGAATTTAATGATTTCAATTATTGTGAATTATTAGTCAAAACAGAACTTATACTGCAATACGTAAAACGGATGTTTTCCTCCTCCAACCGTACAGCAGTATCTATATGTACTGGAAAAGGCGGAAGCCATGGTATCCGAAAGGCCCAACCCACAGCAGTATACGCTATAATAAGAGGAATCAGCAGCCGCGGGATCGGCGATGGATGGAAGCTGAGGCGAGGATCAGAGTACTGTACACTCAAGCTTGAATCGTTGCCCTCAGCAGGTGACTCACCGTTATTATGTGGTATATTTGTGAGTCGTGGCTGTTTTGTGGGTAACCTGTGGCAAAAATTAAGTTTTCGACGTTGGCCTTGAGTCGAAGCGTATCCTGTACAGTATACTGTTTATACATTGCACGCAGATCTATATTTTATTAATCCATCGATATAAAAGGCCATGCATACTTCCCCCGATGATCCTGATGATTTTACTTCTTCCTCTGCCATTACATCTAGGCAGGTAGGGACTTTTTAAAATGTGCTTGGGTATTTCAACATGTTGTCTCATTTCTGGTGGAGCTTACCTCACAATAAGTAATATTGCAAAGCTCATACTGCAAACGAGGAAGAGCAAGCATGCCCAGCCTATGCCGTATCATTAAGCCAAAACTTATTTTTCAACATTGCTCTTCTTGATTCTCTAAATACATTTGAAATTTTTTAGTAAAAAAGTGCTTATGTACATTGATTTTAATGTAAATAGGATGCTCAGCTGTCAGTAACTGCAACTGAAGTATGCACCATTTAGGACGTTTTTGTCAGCAATTCTGAGTTGTTTTCTTATTGCAAGTTATCCTGAAGGATACTTTTTGTGCTGGGAATCGTTCTGTTTTTGTGATTGCATACCGATTTGTGAAATTAGTCGTCTCATGCGCGAAGGAAGTTAGTTTTAACATTTTTTTATGAAATGCAGGAAGTAATTGAAGACCATGTGGATGGATCAACTTTGAGCCCCATTTTATAATCAAGGTACTGCACAGTATTTACTTCGATTATGACTATTACACTAACATATGAAGCAAAGCCTGTAAATAAGTTTCTGTAAAATACTGAATTTTGTAACTCATCTTCAGTGTGAAATATTTTTGCATTACAGGTCTTTGAAAAAAAAAAAGCTTCCATCGCTTGACATAAACCGTATGATACTGGTATTTTTAACTGTGTTGTTTACGTACAATGATGGTGATTTTTCCTTCGAGTTGACTTCTTTGGGGGAGTGTTTTTGAACATTGAGTGATTCACAATTTTGCTAGGTGTAGATTTGAGCACCTGAACCCCAAATGGGGGTCGCTGCAGGATAGGTGTCGCCCCAACCAGGGCGACACCTATCCTTCTTTCTAGCAACAACTTTACCCGCACAAGCTGCCCACCGGATCTGGACGCACGCTGAGGAGTGAGGCGAAGCGGACAAGGAGCAGTGGCAGGATGAGAAAGATCAGCCTTTGAGCTGTTGACATCCCCTTTCCTATTCTATTAAGTAAGGGTGCCCCTTCCCACAAGAGGGCGACATCTAGGCGTCCGTACTGGCGCAGGGGTAAACGTCCAAAGTCCCCAACTCAATCCTTGAGCAACATTGCATCATCCTCACAACCACTGGAGGAGAAGCCGACAGAAGGAGCTCCAGAATCCCCACTTCAGTCTGAGCCTTTGACCAAGCAACTTCCCCTTTCTATCGACTTATCCTTGTGTTATAGCTTGACCTTATTGAATATAAGTCGTGTTCGTGAATAGAAGGAGTTACTGTACTTAACTCTTCATCCTTACTATTATCAGCTGACTATTTATTTGGTGTTGTGTTGGTGTGTGTGTGTCGTCGTTGAAGGTGAATAGACTTCATTTCGTCGACAAGGGTCGCCATTTTATTCCATAAAAACCTTACTGTACACATGCCTGCATCAGTGGTCCTTGCAGCTGCCTCCATAATAATGTTTTTTTTTATCCCGCTTGCATCATTACCGTAATTTTCGTACAATTTTCGAGAATAACCGTATTGATTTTTTTTCAAGTGGTAAATGCACACGTTTTTTATAAATCAATATTATGCAGAAGTTTCATGCATGATGAATTATTAGCTCAGCTTATCCGAAATTTAGTTGTACACAGTACGTATATTCATCATGCTACTGTCTCTATTGGGTAGCTGTGGCCATTGAACGAGCAGTGTGGCAGACATGCTGGGAACCCTTTTACTAGATTATATGCTCGTCATAAATGTATGACAGGATTTTTTTTTTTTACTAATTATTGGCATTCCAGCGAGGGCTCTTGGAGTCGGCTGCGGTCCAGCTCCCCGCG